TATGCATGATGGATCCTAGAATTTGCCCCATTGGTCCAATCAACTAAGTGTTGCTATCTCTTGATATGATCTTAGGCAACTTCTAAGAGTGTGAGCCAATTTGACATATACCTCTTTTGTGGCCTACCTTGTAAGTGTGTGAACCGCTTTTGAACACCCCTTGAGACTTACCTTTCTTTGGAAGAAACTTGATGAAAACAATGACCTTTCTTTATCCATCACCCATAATCCATAGCCAACTTAGGCCAAAAGCCTAAGTTCGGGTGTGGTGAAAAGATAAGAGCAAGTCAAGAAGTGCAAGGAAAGTATCCTCTAACCCATGGTTTTGAGAAAAATTAAACCCCTCCATATATAAAAAAGAAGAAGAGAGAAATGAGAAAGAAAAAGAAAAAGAATGAAAAAGAAAGTTGTGGAATAAAGTACAAAAGAAATGGGGTTTCCAAACAATTCATGGAAAGTGAATAATAGGATGACTTATTAGCACTAAAGAAAATGATGAAGGAAGAGGAAAGGAAGTGTTGTGAGTACAACATTTCATGAGGATGAAAGTCATTGTGCCTAAATGGCCATACATTTGCACTCAACCCCATTACAAGCCTTGAAAAGACCTTCTTGATCTTGAGTGAGCTGAAACAAGTGTTGATTGGAAAATACGGGCAAACCCTATGGGTGAAATTATGCATTGTATTCTTCTTTGTGAGTGTGAGCGTTGCATTTGATTCCGGAACTTTAAATGATTAAACCTTTGTGTGTGAATATGAAATCTTTCCTTATGTGAGGGCATTTCAACTCTTTGGTTGAGCTTGAACTTGCATTTGAAGAAAGTATTATGAGCATGAGATTCTTTGATATTGGTAAGTCACAACTTGAATCTTTGAGTGCACATTTGATCTTTGCAAAAGTAAATTGAGTCTTGTTGTATGCACTCATGATTGAGTCTTTTGTAGCACTGTTAGAGATATCCTTTTTGAACGGCTGAACTTGAGTTTACTTGAGGACAAGCAAAAGTTTAAGTTGGGGTGTTGATGAGTCCACAAATTGGACTCATTTAGGGATATATTTTGATAGAATTAGTGTCCTCAAAATGCATATTTTGTCTCAATATCTGATGAAAACCCTTAAGTTTCAAGTATTTGGAGTTTGAGGGTAAGCATGGACACTACTTAGCAAAAATGGAACAAAGGCAGCTGAAAGAACAAAGAAATGAAGATCTGAGAATCGCCGAACCCATTCGGCGAGTTGCCAAAAGGTCTTATCCTCGCCTTTTGTTCCACTGTGTGAGCCCTGAAAGAAAGGATCAAGTCGGCGATGAAAAGGAGCAGTCGGTATGTCGTAGAGCAGTTCCGTGAAGCAGTACTATGTCGCCCAATGATCCAAAACACGACAATGCTGAAGGATAGAGCAAGAGACGATGAAACCTACCAAAGGGCGGATCGCCGAGTTGATGTCGCGGAGTAGTTCTGTTGGGTCTTGCTTGTTGATGATTTATTTGTTGTTTAGATGTGATTTCGTTTAGTGGTTGTGGTGAAACTTAATGAAATTGTAGTTGCAAATACGATCTCCCCTTTCTGTTTTCGGCTTGCTGAGAGAGAGGTTGTAAACCGAAGATGACTAAATTAATGGCCGGTGGGATTGGGTCGACATGAAGTTCAGCTCGAGAGAGTGAACCCTAGTCCTTCTCCCACACACTCAGCTCGAGAGAGTGAGTAGGATAAGGTGGAGGTTGTTCTTCATGCGGCAACTCGGTGTTCGAGAGAAACCGAGTTGATTCAAGGTAAGTTGCTCGAGAGAGAATTTACCCCACTATAGTCTAGCCTAGTCACAAATATTCAATGGATTTATTATCAAAAGCATGTACCCAATAGTTTAGTCTATCCCGTATTCCTAACACATTCCAAGAATTCTCTCAACTTGATTAGTACTCTTTGCATTTTTGCTGATTTTTGTTTACCTCTGACAAACCCCAATTGTTAATTGACTCTCTTGTGTCACCGCTTAGATTTAACATGTTCTTATTCGATAATGTTTTTAGCTATGAATAATTAGAACTTAATTTTACTTTTCTATTAATTCTCAAGCCCACTCCCTTGGGATTCGATCCCAACCCTTGGTTGGGTTACTTTTCTATTGTACGATCGTAGACACCTGCATTGGAAGTTGTGTCTTGATTACGCAAACATCACTCATCTTGAAGAATCTTCAGCATCTGCACTATGCTGAGCCAAAGAGCAATCTAGATCTTGTCTGACTCGCTCTCTCTTCTTACCTCTACCTTTTCCATCAATCCCTACACTAGCACTGCTTCTACTGAAGTCTTTTCCCTTGGAATTGGAAACCTTTGCCTTCTTTTCTTTAATACTACTGTTATCACATGTCTCTTATATAATATCTCGGGGGGGGGGGGGGGTTGTTTCTTATGGTTCTGGCATTCACTCCATTTCCTCTTAATTAAGGGAGTCTTTAATATCACATCTAAAGAATGACTTTCTAGATTTTTTGCTAAAGTCAAATTATTGAATGAATCAACCTTTGGCTGCTTGTGTTTATATTTATCTCTTACCTTTTATGATCTAGTGCCTAGAAATCTTACCTTGTTATCCATACCAAGCAATCTATCCAAGCATTTTTTTTATTTTTTTGGAGTATTTTATTCTTTTCAACTTGAATTCCTTCACCTCCAACATATCTTTCTTAAGATAATTCCAAATTTCTTTTGGTGAGGGGAGAAATATAATTCTCTTTAAAATAGTTGTTGTGACAACAACAAACAAAGTTTCTTTCGTCGTGGACTTCATAGATTTTCTTTTCCTTGTTACTCTTGATTTTCGCTATGGTTGGATTATTTTTGTAAAGGATTAATTTCATAATCCTCTTCCACGTCTTCCTTCCTAAAGATCAAGGGTCTCAAAGTAATTTTCCGTTCTCACAACTCATAAATAGTAATTTTCATTACTAAAATCAGCCTGAGTCGTTCATGAAAAACAATTTTTGAAATCCATCTCTTCACTCAAAGGTCTCTTCAGAAAAATAGCTCTAGATCCCACCTATCAGTTTTTGAAAGAAAATAAATGCAGGAAAATAACAATGGAAGAAAAGTTGAACAATAAATTATGTATTTCACTATAGAGCTTTATATTATTGATGACTAACAAAAGATGACTAAAAACAAAACTGAATTAGAAATCAACTCCTAAATACTAGGTGTCTAAGTTAATAGAATTATTGCAACAAGACTATATGTAGTTCTAAATCAAAGATTAAACATACATACAAAAGATTCCTAGGCCTTCAATCTTGAACGTCACATGTAAAGCTCTTAAGCTTCTACATTATTGTCTTGAAGCCACATCGAAAATGCTTAAAGAGTGTTCGTATCAGCTCTGTGATGCTTTTGAGTAAACTCAAGACGAGCATGACATCTGAAGTCAGGACAAAGAAAGAAAGCAAATGAGTTTCTAGGAGTCTTGTTGTTAACCACTGCTCTATGCAAGATACTTTTGTATCTACCATTCTATAAAGCCTGCATAAGGACAAACACCAAATATGTTATATTCAAGTTGTAAGTCTAGGAACTCATGATGTATATCATTGCCCGTCATGTGGAAATATCTTATAATATTTTTCACCAAAAAATGTGTTATTTGTTTAATTGACTATGTTTATATTATTTGTATGTAATACTTAATACATTAGCTCATTATATAATACTAGTTAGTTAATTTGCATACCATAAATGTGTCACATATGTTAACCAGAAAGGCATTAAAATTTGAACAAATGGAGTACCATTCGTTGTCCATAAAAACTTGAAGTCCTGACTTGAATTATTGAGCCATAATACATAAAACATTGAATTCAATAAATAGGATATATAATTTAATAAGATACAATGTTTTGTTGTTTTCATTGTACTTTATGTATCATAAATTATTACTTTTATGTAAATTCAATAAATATGATACATAAATTACTAGGATACAATAATTTTGATGTAATAAAAATTAACATTACCTGAATCTCAAAAGACTCTTTAGATTAATAAATATTAATTTATCAATTAAATTATACATCTACAAATTAATAATATTTTGTTGTCATACCTATATTAATTTAGTGAGTTTTACTATAGTTTCATATTAAGAATAAAGTTATTTGTAGCTATATAATGAAATCTATCTATGGAAAATCAATTGGAAAAATTCTTTAAATATCTCTAGCTATGATTATGCTATATTATGTGTAGATATGTTACATTCTATAACAAAATTATACCCCAATTTTAAGCATTATTAAGCCATTCTTAGCAAACTGTTTGAACCCATTTTTTATATTTCAAAGCTTTTTAAGGAAAAAATTTCAAAATCTTATTTGAAACCTATGGTTAAACATATCTTTAAAAATATTTCCTTTTTTAAAATTTGATTCAAAATATATGAAAGCTCTCTAGCCACAAAATTAAGCACTATAAGCCCTTCTCAGCAAACTATTCGCACCCATTTTTTATACTGGAGAACTTTTTAAGGATTTTTTTTCAAAATCTATGGTCAAACATATCTTTAAAAGTATTTCCTATTTTAAAATCTGATTCAAACAACATATGAACTTCTATGCAAATTTTTATCATACTAAAGCTTGAAGGGCAATCAAGTTCTAGTGGGAAAATTTTGTTTGTTGTTTCATCGAAAGACGATGAAGAATGGGAAATTATTGGCTCAAAGAACAAGTCTGCAGTCACAAGAACTCTGGACTTCATTCCTTCAAACTTGAGTGCCATTATTGGGGGAAATTGAAGAGGCTTGTGAAAGTTAGAGGGAACAAAGCCTCTGCGATAGTTAAACCATTTTTGGTATTCCATCTTGATATTTCACACGAAGCTGTTCATAACATTCTAGATTCTCTCTGCCTATTTTCTGCCCATGAGACACTCGAGGGATATAGAACTACCGTAGGAATGGTTGGAGTGGCTACTGCTAGTAAATCCATTAGCATACACACACTTCCTAAGATGACGATTTTACACCTGAAGCGGTTTGGTTATGGAAGCTATGGAAGTAACAAATTGCATAAACATGTGCATTTTCCTCTTGAACTAGTGATAAGCCGTGAACTAGTTCAAGAGGAAAATGCACATGTTTATGCAATTTGTTACTTCCATAGCTTCCATAACCAAACCGCTTCAGGTGTAAAATCATCATCTTAGGAAGTGTGTGTATGCTAATGGATTTACTAGCAGTAGCCACTCCAACCATTCCTACGGTAGTTCTATATCCCTCGAGTGTCTCAGGGGCAGAAAATAGGCAGAGAGAATCTAGAATGTTATGAACAGCTTCGTATGAAATATCAAGATGGATACCAAAAGTGATTGAACAATCACAGAGGCTTTGTTCCCTCTCACTTTTACAAGGCTCTTGACCTGCCCCCCAATAATGGCACTCAAGTTTGAAGGAACGAAGTCCTGAGTTCTTGTGACTACAGAGTTGTGCTTTGGGCAAACAATTTCCCATTCTTAATCGTCTTCCGGTGAAACAACAGACGATTTTTTCACACTTCAACCTGATTGCCCTTCAAGCTTTAGTATGCTTAAAATTTGGGTAGAAGTTTATATGTTGTTTGAATCAGATTTTATAAAAGGAAATACTTTCAAAGATAAGCTTGACCATATATTTTGAAAAAAATTCCTTTAAAAGTTCTCAAGTATCAAAAACGGGTTTGAACAGTTTGTTGAGAAGGGCTTAATAATAATGTCTTATTTTGTGGCCAGAGAGTTTTCATATATTTTGAAGCAAATTTTAAAAAAGGAAATATATTTAAAGCTATGTTTGACCAAAGATTTCAAATCAAAGTTTGAAAATTTCTCCTTAAAAAGCTTTGAAATATCAAAAATGGGTCCAAACAATTTTCTAAGAGTGGCTTAATAATTCTTTAAAATGGGGTATAATTTTGTTATAGAATCTACATAGCCATATTTACACATAATATAGCATAATCATAGGTAGAGATATTTTAAAAAAAATCCCGATTTATTTTCCTTAGATAGATTTCCTTATAGAGCTACAAATAACTTTATTCTTAAAATAATACTATAGTAAAACTCACTAAATTAATATAGGTGAGACTACAAAATAATATTAATTTGTACATGTATAACTTAATAGATAAATTAATATTTATTAATTTAAAGAGTCTTTTGATATTCAGGAAATGTTAATTTTTCTTACATCAAAATTATTGTATCCTAATAATTTATGTATCATATTTATTGAATTTACATAAAAATAATAATTTAGGATACATAAAGTACAATGAATACATCAAAACATTGTATCTGATTAAATTATGTATCCTATTTATTGAATTCAATGTTTTTTGTATTATGCCTCAATTCAAGTCAGGACTTCACGTTTTTGTCGACAACGAATGGTAATCCATTTGTCCAAATTTTAATGCTTTTGTGCTTAACATAGGAGACACATTTATGGTAAGAAAATTTACAAACTAGTACTATATAATAAGCTAATGTATTATGTATTACATACAAATAATATAAACATAATCAATTAAACAAATAATACATTTTTTGGTGAAAAACATTATAAGATCTTTCCACATGACGCGCAATGATATACATCATGAATTCTAAGACTTACAAATTCAATATAACATATTTGGTTATTTTCCTTTTGTAGGCCCTATCGAATAATTGATACAAAAGTTGCTTGCATAGAGCAGTGGTTAACAACAAGACTCCTAGAAAATCACTTTCTTTCTTTCTTTGTCCTGAGAAAGATAAGGTGGTGAGTCCACCAACTGAATTTGTTGACTACAACAACCCTCAATTATATACTGACTTCACATGGCCTGCTCTCGTTGAGTTTACTCAAAGCATCATAGAGCTTATACTAACACTCTTTAAGCTTTCTCGATGTGGCTTCAAGACAATAATGTAGAAGCTTAAGAGCTATACATATAAGATTGAAGTCCTTGGAATCTTTTGTATATATGTTGAATCTTTGATTTAGAACTACAAATATTCTTGTTCCAATAATTCTATTAAGTTTGACACCTAGTATTTAGGGGTTGATTTCTATTTCAGTTTGTTTTTTAGTCTATAAATACATGTCTTTTGTTAGTCAATAATATAAATTTCTTTAGTGCAATACATAATTTATCCTTCAACTTTTCTTCCATTGTTATTTTCGTGCATTTCTTTTCGTTCAAAAAGTGATAGGTGGGTTCTAGAGCTATTTTTCTAAAGGGACCTTTGAGTGAAAAGATGGAATTCAAAAATAGTTTTTCATGAATAACTCATGCTGGTTTTAGTAATGAAAATTACCAATTATGAGTTGTGAGAACGGAAAATTACTTGGAAGCCCTTGATCGTTTGGAAGAATGTCGTGGAAGAGGATTATGAAATTAATCCGTTAAATAATAATCTCACCATAGCGCAAATCAAGAGTCACAAGGAAAAGAAAATCATGAAGTCCACGATGAAAGCAACTATGTTTGCTGTTGTCTCCACAACTATTTTAAAGAGATTTATATTTTTCCCATCACCAAAAGATATTTGAAATTATCTTAAGAAAGAATATGTTGGAGGTGAAGAATTCAAGTTGCAAAGAATAAAAAACTCCAAGAAAATCAAATAATGCTTGGATAGATTGCTTGATATTGAAAACAAGGTAATATTTCTAGGCACTAGATCAGAAAAAGGTAAGAGATGAATATAAACAAAAGCAACCAAAGGTTGATTCATTAAATAATTTCACTTTAGCAAAAAATCCCGAAACTCATTCTTTGGATGTGATATTCAAGACTCCCTTAATTAAGAGGAAATGTAGTTAATGCCAAAATCCTAAGAAACACCCCCCCCCCTCCCTCCTTGATATTATAGAAGAGACATGTGATAACACTCGTACTAAGGAAAAGAAGACAAAGTTTTCCAATTGCATGGGAATAAACTTCAGTAGAAGCAGAGCTAGTGAAAGGACTGATGGAAAAGGTAGAGGTAAGAAGAGAGAGCGAGTCGGACAGGATCTAGATTGCACTGTGTCACAGCATAGTGCAGATGCTAAAGATTCTTCAAGATTAGGATCATAAGTGAGACCGATTTGGATGGTTCTACAAATAAAATGATCACGAGAGAAAAAATGATGACGATCCCATTTGGGGAACTGGTTTATCGAATAGTGGATCATAAATTTATAATACAAGCAACCAATTGTTCTTTCATTGAAAAAGTTGGCTTTAATAAAAATTCCAGAAAACCATTCTTTGGATGTGATATTAAAGACTTCCTTAAGAGAAATGTGTTAATGCAAGAATCTTGAGACTCAACCTTCCCCATATATTATAGAAGTGACGTGTGATAATGACTTTAAGAAAGAAAAGAAATCACAGTTCTCCAAGTTCTTGGGAAAAGATTTCACTATAAGCAAAGCTAGTGACAGATTATTATAAATAATAAGTTCACAACGATTATCGATGAAGTTCATAGCTCACTTAAAGTCTTTTGTTCGTCTTAGGAGGAGAATTTTGATAGGGAAGACCTTGCAAGAAACGATTGTGGCCATATATACCATATTGACTGCCCCAACGAGTGGAGTATGATCCCGAACACTTGTCCCATCTGCAAGAGGAAAGTGGTTGTTATTTGCAATTTTACATTGACAATTCGTGCATTCCATTGTAACTTCACTACAGCTAGTCAACTTATTTCATGCCCAGTGACTTGCTTTTTGTGGAATCTTTCTACATCATGTTATTTTGACAAAGTTCAAGAAAGTTCAGGAAAACTTCCTAATTAGAAATCGTTTTCAATCTTAGAACAATGGTCTTTTAGTTTTTCAATTTAGTAAGTTATATGTTTTTTCTTACTTTTTCGAAGCTAAACATAACTAAGTACTTATGTCTCATGTTTTTAATGGATGATATACGACATATTTGATTTTTATTGATATTTAATGTAGATTTTCAATCCCTATTTTATTGTAACTGCATTATTTAGTTCATCATATAATTATTGATCTATATTATCTAGTTTCCTATGATATGTGCACTGGATAGTTTGCCCATCCTTGTACTATTAATAAAGCATAATTGTGTATCTACTAACAACATAAAACATACCAACATACATACAAACTTTTATTATGCTTTATTTATGATGTGATATAAGTTTCAAATTTATTATCTTAATTTTCAAACTTGTGTGCTTTCTATGTGAATACACCAATATCTATGTCTGTAACCATATAACTTTAGATAAACACGTGCATGTAAATAATTATAAGGGTGTAATATCTGATAACGATGTATAACTCTCTCTTATTCCAAAATATTTCAAAGTTTTTCTTGTCACATTTCTTTAAGTAAATCTTGTATTCCAAAAAATGCCCTTATATTTTAGGCAAATTTAGTGGAGTATGATATTAGAACAATACTTTTTTTCTAAAACTCAAGTACCCGTCTAAGTTTACCCTACAAAATATACTGAAAGTTATGATTTTGTTGTAAGAAAAATCAAAAGATCGAGTGTTCTATGGGGCTTTAGAAGTTTCTTATTATAATTTGTTCATGATTGCTTTCTACAAATTGAAACTCATAATTATGACATCATCCATAGATAGATTTAAGATTTAAGATTTAAACTAGATAAGTTAACCCTTTAAGTCATTAAGATTCTTAATGCTAATCTCATTGTACATTTGAAATTATGTGTTCACAATTATATATTCTTTTTGCACTTTTAATAGTTTTAGTTATTTTTGACGTATTTATTTGTGTTTCATATTGAAAATACTGGGTTTAGTTGGACCTATAGAACATATGCACTATATGCCTCTGATAACATGTCGTCAAAAATTATTTATCTTAAACTGCAACCAAACCAGAAGATTTAGCTAGTGTCATCAAACAATGTCAAAACAACCCATCAGGGAACCTCAATTAGTAGACGCTCTAATGTTACTACTGTTAGAAAATTATATGCACAACGGAAGCATGCCAGAATTTTAATGCTTACATGAATAATAGATAATCAAATCAAATCGTTTATGCTAGAACATATACAATTATGCTAGAAAACATAAACTTGCTGAAATTTAATTCAAGAATTACCTCTTGAAGCGTGAGCAGATACCTTCAAGCGAATCCAAAAGTTAGATAGATCTTCCTTCAAGCGAGTTTTCAAGTTTGACAGATCTTCAAGTGAATCCACAACTTAGATAGTAGCTATGTAGTCTTCTACAATGATTCCAAATTCATATCCGAACTCTCTCAATACTTGGGTGGGCAAGTATGAATAGAAACCTTCAGTCTTTTTCTAGGTTAGGAGAATCCTTACTTATAGAGATTTCTTCCCAATTCAAAAAGTAGAACAAAACACAGGCTATTTTTTTCTACCATAAAATTACACGACTGTTTTCTTTTTAAAAGAAAAACTCACGGTAGCCTCCTCTTTTCTCCTTAGAAATAAGATTCTGAGTTCTAGTTAAATATGGACACT